TCTCCAGGGAAGGCAGAATACTTTCTTAAAGGCATCTCTACCTCCTCTCTTCTCACCACTGCCACCACCGCAGGGCCCTTCTGTGCTTGCTGGGTGCAGACCTGGCACCTCTTTGTGACGCAGCCCTCGCTGTGGCTGACGCAAAACCCAAGGAGGGTCAAAACGAGAGCAAGGAGAGATTCATCGGAAGGAGGCGGGCAGGGTGGTTCTGTTGATGAGTAACAGGCACAGAGCTCTAGGAACTGAATAAAAACCTAGCGTGGATGCCAGGGCTTGTCACTGAGGCAGATCGAATTCTCATTCCCTGGGCAGATGATCAATGAAACAGCTGCACCTGCACAGTTGGACATGAAGATGAAAATGCAAATAATGTGCTACTTTACTCCAGAACCCACAGAAAAGAAAACACTCTCAGCTAGAAAATTATTAGTACAATTGGATCCCACCACATCCCGACTACATGTACACACTGTTCTCTCTATTCTGTCATTTCCTCTCCCACTTTACTTTCCTTTGCTGGACACAAAGTAACTGGCACATGTGACCAGATCCATTGTGCTGTTGTTATTATTATTACTTTAACTAAACAGCCAGTGATACAGTTGATTGACAACAAAAGGAAAGGGAGTGGAGAAAAACCTTTCTGTAACAAGCCCCATTAGTGGTGTGCTCATTCCACTTTTATTTTTACATGTCATTAAGTTGTTTTTACTTTTATTATTTGAAAAACAGCAGCAGTAACCACAAAATCCTTTGCATGCTTGCTTTATTTGATTGGAAAATTCCAATATGTTTTAATTATCAATAAAAAAATCAAGGACAACTTTATGATTTTTTGTACATAGCTGTTGCCTGTAGGGCAATCTATTTTTAAGGTGTGATAAATTTCTCTGAAACAAATGAGTCCTAGGTAGCTTTCCTTTTAAGTCAAGTGTCTTGTTATTTAAATGAACTTCTTGTTTAAAATAATAACATAAAAAAGTTCATTGCTCTGTCAACAGAACTGTGAAGCTGTTTCTTATAACAAGAGCAGGGCTCTCCTACCATGTCAGAGAGTAAGAGCAATTCTGTGAGATTTGAGAGGCCAAGACAGTATGTTCCAGGTGCACAACTTGCTGGTGGACTGGTCTGATCAGGATACAGTTTAGCTAGAGGAATGGATGAGTCGCGTATCTTTGGAGAAACCTCTGCAAACGTGTATCACACCCCCATGGCATAGTCACTTGGACCAGCTGTCCCCTGGATGCTTTATGTAGTCATCTTCCTGGAACCTGGGGACCAACCAGGTGGTTTCCAGAGAAGTCCTGCAGCGCCCCGACCTGGGAGGGTTGAAGACGGTGCTCGCACAGGCTCAGCCGACGTGAGGGCTTTCTTGGCCAGAGATTTTTGGGAGCTTCACAAAAAAGACTCTTAATTACCCCAACTCTGCTTTCTTCTGGGAAAACTTATTGCAGAGGCCAAAGATAGGCAGTCTTTGCCTTTCCTTTATCAGCTATTTGGTATATAATGAGACATTCTCCCATGAAGTTGGAAACAAGTCATGTCTACAAGAAGACAGTTCCTGATTTTCTAATTACCTTCATCCTACAAGGCTGAGGCATATAGGATATTATCATATGCCCCCAACCCCCTTGATTTCCTGGAAGCTCAATGTAATACCAAAGACGTATTCAGAAAAGTACTGAACAGTTATTTTATATGTGCTTATTTTGACTCAATATCTGATATTTAATACATCTCACTGCTTTTGCAAAAGTGAAGTTCCATGAGCAGCGGATGCTCTCCCGTTTCCAGCCCGACCTGATCAGCTGTACTTGGTTCTGATTGATCATCCGACAGGATACACGTTTCGTGCCAAAGCTATAGAAACACTGACTTAACATTATTTTAGTCAGTCAGTCAGTGGATTCCCAAGAGGAAATTTTTAGATTTGGAAAAATTTTGTGGTTTTTTTTTGTTTGTTTGTTTTAAATTTCAGAATGGAAGCAATGTATTTACAAAACATGCTGACTGTGTGCCAGACACTGCTCTAAATGCTTTATAAATATTAATCTGTGATTTTAAGTCTTCTAACAAGCCTATGATATAGCCACTACCATTATACCCATTTCACTGATGAGGAAATCAAGGCCTGCAGAGAGTGAAAGAGCTCAAGATCACAGACTGGATTTTAAACCAGTCTGGTTCTATTACTGAGGCCAGACTCTTATAGCTGAGATTGAAGTGTTGGTTGTTGTTGTTTTTACTTTTCATTTGGAAATAATTCCAAATTTTCAGAAAAGTTGTAAGAATAATAGCACACACCCTTTACTGAGATTTACTTATCGTTAACACATATAAAATGGCTTTTCTGAAACACACATGCCTATTTGGTGGCCTTTTACCCTAGAATACTTCAGTGCATGTTTGCTAATAATAGAAATATTTTCTTACAGAAATACAGAGTATTTATCCACTTGAGTAAATTTAACATTGATTTAATTTCTTTAACTTACTGTCTGCATTTCCTTGTTGACAGCTGACCCAGTGATGCCCTTGACTGTTTCCTCTGGGAGGGGACCCTGTCTAGGGCCAGGTATTTATATCAAGTTGTCATGTCTCTCTGGCCTCCTTTAATCAGAAACAATCCACAGCCTTCCTCTTTCTTTTATAACAATGGCACTTCAGCAGAATATGTTTCCCTCTGCCTTTTAAAAATAGAACAAACTACTTCAATTTGTGTTTGTCTGATGTTTCCTCAGGATTAGGCGAGGAAATGAGATACTACGTAAGTGATGCTGTATCTGTCTCAAGGTCTCACTTCCGGAGGCACCTGGTCCTTCTCCCCTTGGTAGCGTTGACTTTGATCCCCACTCCCCCAAGGGCTTCACTGATTTCCCCCTGTGCGATGACTGTTTCCTTTGCAACCAATAAGCAGCCTATGGGGAGACCCTTGTGTGTTTTGCTGCCAAGTGGAAGAACCAGTGTATGTGGAGGGCGGAGAGAAGTTCTTCCTTTCTATGGGAATGTGAGGGCAGTGGGCTATGTGCCTCCTCCACCTGCAGCTGGAAGGGCCGCGCACCTCTTAGTTACAAAGGCTTACAGACATGCCAGGGCTTTGGGCGATCGGGCTTAGACACAGCTCCAGGTGGAGCATCTGGGCCTTGCATGTTTTCAGGCACCAGTGAGTCAAGGTTGCATCTACGAAGTCACAAAGCGGCCAAGGGAGCACCTGAAAGAAAAAGAAGAGGAATCCTAACACTGAAAGCTTTCTTTGAGGGCCCAAAGTATTAAAACACGTGTGAGGCCAGATTTCAGGAAAGCGCATTGGTTCTCTGAGGGAAGATTGATGGTGGCAGAGATCTGATGGTGGCAGAGATGGAAGTCTGGCTGGTTTCACAACAGAGGCTAGGGGAAGTTGCGAGGAAAGATTGATTTTAGGGAGTGAGAAATAGCCAACAGAAGAATTTGTTACACGGAGCACCCTGGTGGTAAATGTGTATAGAAGAGAACAGGCTATCAGCTGCAGTACTTGGGGCCCACCCATTCTGCTATGGAACATCTCTCTCTCTTGGTTTTTTTTTTTTTTTTTTTTTGGTACAGGCAGGGTCTTGCTATGTTGCCCAGGCTGATCTCAAACTCCCAGCTTCAAGTCATCCTTCCATCTTAGCCATCCAAAGTACAGGGATTACAGGTACGAGGCCACCAGGCCTGACCCCGGAACATCTCTCTTTAAAATTAATTTAATTTAATTTATTTAAATATTTTCTTTTTTTCTGCCCCGATATGATCTGTAAGAATACTGTGGAGTATCTTAACTTGGCATAAGGAGCCCATGCTTCTTTATACACCCAGTGACCATCTGAGTTCTTACATGCGGTTAATCACATGTGATCAAAGACAGTAGGCTAAAACGAGAGGATAGGGAATAATTGAGGTGGAAAAGATTAGATGAAGAGAGAATTTTTGACCCAGATGTTCAAGCCACAGGTAACTAGTTATTAACATTGGGCATCAGATTTGTGTCTGATCTTCTTGGCAGTAAAGGCAAAAAGGAAAACATGATCAATTTGTCACAAAAATGTCGTCTCTATGAAGAAAAGTTTATCAACTACTCAGGAGAAAAAAAAATTCCCTGATGCTTAAATATGAATACGGCTGCCTATAATTTGCTTATTGGTAATAAAGCTTTTCTTCCATTTAGCCTCTTGTCGATTTTCTCTGTAGTTGTAGTTTGACTTGTTGGCACCATGGTTGAAAGGTCTATAAATGCTGTAATGTGCTGAAGATGTGAGTATCAGGATGGGGAAGTAACAAAGCACATGGGGTGATTAACATCACAGTTATCCACACCCATGGATTCTAAATCCAGGGACAAGGGTTGGTCTGGTTACAGCAACTTTGCAAAAGAGTGCATCGGGACTGAACCCACTGGGGGCTATGAAATGCGAAATCCAATCTCAAGAACTTACAGCAGAGAAATCACATGGTCATTCAGCAACAGCAACAAAAGGCACTAAAGTAAGTGATGGAAAATTACTTATAAAAATGAAAACAATACAATAATAACTTATGGACACTCTACATCCTGTCCTTTGGGAGGGATTTTAGTGTTGTTGTTTTTTTTTAATCTTTAAGGATTTTGCAATGTCTTTTTTGCTTTCAAGGGCTCCTCCAATGTGAAATGGCCGGTGGTGGGGTATTTGGGGGTGAATTTATTCATTTGTTCAGTTAGCCAGTCAACAAACGTGAATTGAGCTCCTTGTGTGAGCTAAGGCCCCGAGATGGAGAAGATGAACTCACGATCCGAGATGCCCTAGATCTGAAATATACAATAGAACAGGGAGATGTGCAGCAAGGAAGTGATAGTACTGCTACGTGTCTGTAGAACACTTAAGAATTATTTCAAAAAGCTTGTTTTCACAACACGAAACCAGGTCTACATTAGCGTCCCTATTTCCCAGGCGAGTTGGTGGAATGGGTTATGCAAAGCACATTGTCTCTCTCAGCCTTTCGTTTCCCCATGCGACCACAAGAGGGAGCTGTGCGAGGGGGTCCTCCTGAAAGTGATGCAGCTGACCTAAAGCAAAATGCTGAGCACTGTGAGAGCTTGGAAACGTCCCAGGTGCCCAAAGACCTGCTGCCTGGGGTGGACGGGTGCTGGCCATCTGCACTCCCAGAGCAATAAAGGACTCGTAGGGCCCCTCCTCCAACAGCCACCTGGGATGTGTAAACAGCCACAAGTGTACTCCCCTTTGGAAGCAGCATAATAACTTCCCTCTAGAAAGCTTTCCTCTCTCTGTACGACAGGTCCCTACAAGCCCCCTTCTCCGTGTTCGTAGCAGATCTTTTGTTTTCTTGCTTGTTGATTTTCCTTTTGCAAACAGGATTGGGGGACCCATTATTTAATGAAAACCTTTTGTCAAATCCTAGGCTCTCTCTAGTGTTGATTGCATGTCTAGACAGACAGATAGAAATAACTGCCCGAGGGCAAGGACAACCTTAACTAAGTTGTCCATTAACAGTTTTACATTCTCCTAAAAACACTCCCACACCAGTCCTTTGTCTTGGCATTTCGACATTGTGCAAGACTCCAAAATAAGTTGCTTCTCTGACCAGTGTTTCAAATGTCCCATTCACAACCACTGCGTTCAGAGATTTCAACTTCCTTGATAGGGAATTAAGTCACAAAGGCCCAGACGGTTCTGAAAAACCCCTGTTAGACTGCCCGGGTCATAAAGAAGCCTTGTAAACTGCTTTTGGATGATGAGGGTGGTGGGGAGCGATAGATTCTGCGTGGTGTCTGGTGGTCTCCTGAGTGCCAGGCAGGCCAGAGAAAATTAGGGGTATGTTTTTGTTTAACATTATTCCTTGCTGACTCTTGTCTCCCTAGAAAATTGTCCGTTAGGAGATGAAATAAGGTGCCCTTTCTGTTAACTCAGATTTCTTAATTATAGTTGTTGGGAGATGACTCAGATCATGTTGTAAGGGGAGGTGGTGATGCCCCTGCGCCCCCCCAGGCTGCAGAGGAATTTCTTTTAGAGACTGGCAATGGTAAGTCTGAGAAAGAGTCAGCCCATGGTGCTGAAGTTTTTAAGTTGCTTTTTTTAGAGATTTCTCCCCTTGCATGCTGGCCTCTATGTGTTAAACCCTTTCAAGATCTCTCCTCCCCTCCCATCCCCTCCTCTCTCCTTTCTTTTTCCTTTTCTCTTCTCTTTTCTTCTTTCATTTGCTCAGCCATAAAATAAGCATGTGCCTACACGTCCAGAACCCAGGAGGAAGTAAGGTGGGCTTAGCCATCTCCTGATACAATTTGGGGTTTTCGCCCAGTGTGGGTCCTTCCCTCCCGCTCTTTGCCTGGCGCTGTGCTTGGGGCCAGGTGGGGAGGATGTCGTCAGGACGGATTGCCCCGCAGGCTGGTTCCCTGGAGATGTAGACACCTTCGGTGCGCCCGAGCTCCTGGGCCGATCCGCATCCATCCCAGTGCCCAGGCAGATACCCTTCCCTGGCCGCCCCTCCCGTGCCCCTGTGCGGTTCATCACCGCTCCCGCCGATTTGACCTCCCAAACGGCTGGGACCTGTCCTCTTCTCTCCCTCCTCCATTCCACGTTTGCTGCTTTTCCTACAACTGACTCAACAGCTTCCTGACTGAGCTCCCAGGATCCACAAGACCCCTCCTCACCGTGCTCCACGCCGCAGCCAGACCGCTGCTTTCAGAACAAAAATACGATCACATCATCCCTCTGTTTAAAAACCTTCAGTTGCTCTCAGGATAAAACCCGAGTCCTGAATGTGGCCTGGAAGGCCTTGCACGGCCTGGTACCTGGCACGTCTTCAGCCTCCTCTGCCCCCACTGCCACCTTCCCTGCTGTTCTCCAGGGCTTTGAGCAAGGCAGGGTCCTGGTCCTCCGGCTTTGGGCCCTGCTCCTCCTTCTGCTCCAATGTCCTTTCCCCTCTTTGCTTACATAAAGTCCGTTCACTTACCAGATCTCAGGTCAAACGTCTTTTCCAGAAGGAAGCCGTCCCTGTTCCCTCTGACAGTGCCATGCATCTTTACTTAGAGCATTTCACAGAGTTGCAAATGTTTTTTATTCTTTGATTTTTAAAACCATTATTTTTTTCCTACTCACCAGACTGTAAATTCAATAAAAAGTGTTAGGGTTTTTTTTTTTTTTTTTTTTTTTTTTTTTGCTTACTATTGTACCCTCAGGTGTTCAGTAAATATTTGCAGAACAAATGAATGATTGAAGTTGTACTAATAATAGTGCAAGCTCAGAGGAAGTCTAATGAAGCCTGTTCAAAAGATACCACCGACCAGGTGTGTGTAATCTCCTCTCTGCCTTTTCTGCCCCGTATTCTAAATGTGAGAGATTAAGGTGAATAACAGTGAGTGAATAAGAAGAAAGGAGAAAAAAATCAAAGCACTCGGGAAAGGTTGAGCTGTTCAGAGAGGCTGTTCTGGAGGATTCGTGGAAGGACATAGCAGGAAATGAGAGTGGAGGAGCCATTTGGGGTTGTATCATGGTGGGCCTTAAACCCACAATATGCACTTAGAGTACCTGACATCAGAGAAAGAATAACAGCACCTAAGCAATGCCATTGGTGTAAGTGGAGGAATGTTAATACTAATTGCAACAAGCCCGTGGGTCACTGTGTTTACTGTAAGGATGACACAGCACCATGCGGCTTTATTCACTGTTTGCAGTAACTGCCATGAAGCCCCCGGGCTTGCTTTCAATTCATGGGCACTTGTAAATCATATAACTGATCTCATTTTCTTTATTTCATTGGCTATCCAGAAAGCTTGAGGCCAAAGTTAATCGGCCTTTACAGCATGCATTTTGTGTATGAACTACATTAACAGCTTTGTTTTATTTTTCTGCTCTTCTTTTCTTTTTATCCAGTTGTCTTCTTCTAAAAAGAAAATATCGTATGCATGTTAGTTTTTTTGGGAGGAGGAAGAGACTAGTTGTATGAATTGATAAATAATGTGAATTTTTTTATCATGAAAATTTATTGCAAGAGAGCTGTATTCAAAATCACGTACGGATGTAGTCATATTCAGAATTGCATGCAAATATCTTTTGTCCATGCCTCTTGCCTGGTTTTGGATAAAAGCACCAACCAAACTCCCCTCGGGTCATGACTAGAAATGCAGGTAACCAAGGAACACCTTTCATACATGTTCCTATCTGCGGCTCTCACATGCTCATCGTAGTGCAGGCAAAGGCCACTTCCATTTACCAACTGCGAAACTCAGACCAAGTTATTTAATCCCTGCTGGCTTCAGTCTCCTGGTCTGTAAAATGAAAATAGGAACTACCTAAAAGGTTTGCTATGAACAGAAAGATAATTTGCTTGACGTCGTGTCTGCTGACCCAAACTAAACTCTGTAAGTGGTGGCTATTGATGTCGTTTATACAACAGTGCCACTATTGCTCTCGTGCCTTAACAAGGCCAGGGTTCTTTACTCTAAGTATGTGTTTGTCTCTATCATTGGTGCCACCTTCAAAAGCCTTTTCATGTATCAAGCACCTCTTCTTCTTAGATTAGATTCCTGCATAGGTCAGACAATGTGCCTCTAACTCCATCTCTCTTCCCAACTAGATGTATTTTACTTTCCTTTCATTTTCTTGGTTCTCTTCTGAAAGGTACTGTTACTTTAAAGTTATTCATATGAAATTGGCCTCTCTAAAGCATTTCTACAAAAAAAATCATAGTCCAAAGGAGTTGATTGTTTGGGAAGTTTCATCCAAATTAATCATTGGTTTGCTCTCTCCATTTTTATTGTTGGACATTGAGATGGTAAGACATCAATAGAGGAAAGAGTAAAGTGTGTGCATGAACTTACTTAGAATCCCTGTATAGATTCAGGTTGAGTGTGGTGCTCAAGGTCAAAACAGATGCTGCCCCACAGCCTGTTGGTCCTAAAAAGCTGTGAAAGACAGAGGGCTTGGCTTGGATAAATACAGAGAAGACCAATGATTATTGTGACATGAGCATTGTTCACAGGCCTCACCCTCTTGTGAGGGGAGGAAAACAAAGGCAAACTATCTGAATATCCTAGACCAGGTTTTCATAAATCTTAAGAGAGAACATGGGCCTTAGGGTGGAAAAAGTTTGGGAAACAGTGGTCAAGGCAGGTTTCTTTATCACAATACTTTTTAGAGCCTTTTATATGCTCACAAATATTATATCTCTCCAAAAGAATGATTTACTATGTGGTATTTTCCAAAATGACCATGTCATCAATCCTGTTTTCAAGGAATACCTACTAATAATTTGTTACTCACAATATCTTGAGAGGGGCCAGTTCACTGTCCCTCAGATGTTGGAGGGCCAGACTATAGTTTAAAAAAAAACTATGAACAAATTCCTGTGCACACTGCACATATCTTATTTTGAAGTAAAAAAAAAAAAATGGGCAAAAACACCCACATGTGGCCCGAGGGCCATAGTTTGAGGATGCCTGATCTAGAGGATCAAAGAGTATTAAACAAGCATTGCTTTAGAATATACTGTACATCTCTGGCTGTCGTTGTCTGTTCCACTGACTCTTTTCTAATTACTGTGTCAGGTGTCTTTCTTCCTGTCTCTCTTCTCTGCTCTCCCCTCCTCTCTCCACCCCCTTTGATCCTTTTACAGTCTTCATTGTCTTTATTATCTCCTTTATCTCATCCGGGCCCCTCTTCCTGCTCCCTCTTCTTTTTCTTCTTTGAAAGGATGTGATGTTGTCTGATGCCCAGTTTCATTAAGCCGACAAATATTTGGTACGCCTATTCTGACTTATACAGTTCTCTGAAAGTGCAAACGTGCAAAGGCTCCGTCCCTGTGTGGTGTAATTCTAGTTAGATCCTCATTACCTCTGCAGGGCTCATTCCTGAGCACCAGGCTTTGCCAGCCTTTCCTCTTCCATCCAGTTAGCTCTTTGGCTATGGTTTGAATGCGTCCCCCACAGAGCATGTGTTGGAAACTTAGTCTCCAGTGCTAGCAGTGTTGGGAGGTGGGACCCAATGGGAGGTGTTGAAGTCATTAGGGCTCCACCCTCATGAATGAATTAATGCTGATTGTAAAAGGGCTTGAGGCTGTGAGTTCAATCTCTCGCTCTCTTGCACTCTCTGTTCTTCCACCTTCCACTATGGGATGACACAGCAAGAAGACCCTCACTAGATGCGGGCCCAACCTTGGACTTCTCAGCCTCCATAACTGTGAGAAATGAATTTCTTTTCTTTTTAAATTACCCAGTCCTGTGATGTTTTATTATAGCAACACAGCACAGACTAAGACATTTTTCTTTACGATCCATCTCTTCAACCCCACCCTTTGCGTGTGGCTGTTTCTAACCAACCCGGATCACTTTGATTTTTCTCGTTCTTTGTACTTTGAAGTCTTTCTTTGCCTGTAGTTTTCAGGTGAGCATTTGTCTGCCTTAAATTGTTTAAAAGACGTGTTTACTTTTCTTTCTCAAAGAAAGGCAGAACGCAGGCCTTCCCTTTCTTGCCTGTCCCTTGGGCACACAGCGCGTGGCTGAGCACACAGAGACAGGCTGTGTGGCTGGGAGGGCTCCTCTCGCTGGGACAGCTGTGCCTATTGGTGGGCGGGGCGCGTTCACCTGTTCCTGCTGGCCAGGCAGGAATGTTGGATGAAAAAGTGAATCCTTGTTGTTTTTCATGTTCTCTGGCGAATGACAGTATTTCTTCATGTTTCTCAAAAAAATATGAAGAATGTAAATGTGGCTTATAGGGAAACATCTAAAACCCAGACGGACTTTTACTGACTAGGGGTTGGGGAAACCGTGCTTGTCTTCCTGGTGAGTGGTGAACGAGCTCGGTATTAACTCTAAAGC